CTTAACATCCTTTAGTAGCAAAAGGCACCATTTGACAACCTGGTCTTTGTGTGTGTAAAGTGTTATGTTAAAAAAACTAATAGTTAATAGAGATATGGTCCAGACAAACACACCACTAAAAATAGAGTCAAAGTCAAACTTGTTGCCATGGAAACAGGAACTTCTTTTTTTAAAATTCCTGAACAGCAAAAACCACAACTTCAATCCTTGATTAATACACGAACCATGTTTGGATGAAAAATGTTGAATGGTTTCTTCAGTTCTGCTCCCAAACGACACCTACCAGTGTTTCAGCTAAGTCTAACTTGTTTCCATGGAAACAGGGAAAAAATCAAATTTAAAAAAATCCTAAAAAACAAAAGGCACCACTTCAGCCCTTGGCAAATACATGTACCTGGTTGGGATGAAATGTATTAAACAATTTTCAAGTTGTGCTCCCTAAGCGACACCTACCCCTCCCCTTTGAGACAAATAAAAATGTCAAAAATATGCAAATACCATGTTTTCTTTTTTAAAATGTAAAATAGAACACGTAGCACCCTTCCTTTGCTCTAGCAACTCCTTAGCCTTTTCCTCATCTATTAGACTCCCTCAGTATTCCAAAAGGTAGTCTTCGCAAATATATTTTTGTGAAAACACCAACGCCAAAGTGTGAAAATGCAGGAAACATTATATCAGAACAGATAGGTGTAGTGTTAGAAAATGAAGGGGGTTTGCGAGTTTCTGGAGTAACCTTATATATTTTTTCAAATAACTAAGCATTCAGAAGCCATTTAATAAAGGCACATGTGTGCACAGTTTGGCCTTAAAGAAGCAATATAAACAAAACGAATTGACTATCTCAGCCAGCTCCTTTTCCGAGTACAGGAAGCTGAACACACTACCCAAAGTTCCGCAGCAAATGCCACATGCTTGAAAATATATGTGGTTACATTCAGCATAAGTCATCATGTTAAAAAAGACAGCACTAAATATAGAAAAACATTGTCAGTTGTAATTGCTGGATGGAAGTACATTCCAAAAAAACTTGAAATCCTACACACAATCATCCAATCACAGCTGACAGACGATTAAAAAAGGCTCTCAATTAAAACTGCCTGTTGAACGACTCATTCTGATTTGCTGTTGTAGGACCTGCAGACAATTAAAAAAAACATTTGATTAATGATTTGTATATATATATGCAGCTTTTAGAAAAAAAATGAAAATTGGATTTAACTTATCCAACATGTCTATATGGCACCAGAATACCAAATGGTGTACTGAATGAGCTGTAAGAGTTAAATGATACATATTTCATTGATGTTTTACAAAATGTATTTCTCTATTAATAAGAAATTTCTACAATCAAACACAGACAATGGGAGTTTATTCATGTTTCATAATAGAACTGGGTCATGGATGAGTTTCATACATGGTTGAGGCTGCCTAGATCATTTCACCCTAAAAACTAATTTCAACTATAAAAATAAACAAATCTTCAAACCTAAACACCGATAGAAAGAATATCTCAAAATCATTAATGGTCAGTTGTTTGCCTCCCTAGGCCTGTTCTGATATCAACAGATAATAGCAGAGTCTTCAACATTCATGGAATATGGTTTTGACAGTCATGACGTGATATGATTGAGACTGTTCGATATTCCTCGAGTTTACATCCCTACATTGATTCTTCTATCAAGCACCCAATGACTGTCCACATTTATAGAAGGGCTAACACAAATGTTTGTGCTTTCCTTTACTCCCAACATCAAAAGTAGAAGCACCTAAGATATAACCTAGTGACACATGAAGAGAAATCAGAAACATTATTCAAATTTGGACAGAAAAAGCATGGAATCAGGCCAGAACATTGGCCGGGGAGACATTAAGCAGCTTTAATGTTCTCCTTCATGTGAGGCGAGGTAATGGACCCTACGAGAAAGTAGGAAGTAAGGGAGTGGATTGTTACCATACTGTCTGACACAGTTGATAAAAGGAAGTAAGCCCCTCAAGTAAAAGAAAACGCTTTAAAACCACAACATGAAAGGAAATTACACTTAAGTTTAATATCGATGAATGTTATGTGCGAAAAAACGACAAACCAACCTGAATGCGTACGTGACATCAATAACTTCGGTCAAAGAATCCCTCAGAAATATTTTGATTTTACATATATATTGCAAAAATATACCACAGATACAGCTAAATATGTTCAATCATACAGTATAAGAATGTAAATCACGATGTGATGTTCAACTGCATTTGGAATATATATGATATATGGGGAACATATTCGTGAATCATTACACAGTGGGTTGACAATTCTTTTACCTGTGCCCGTTCACGCTTAGACGGAAACATGCTGCAAACATGGCCACCAGAGGGGCATGTGTCGCTACTCGGCTTGTTCCGGAATAACACAAGTTGGTCATGAGAGAAGTCTGACGCGGCCGGGAGATCAAATAGAATGGGCTGATGTGACACAGCCGGACAAAGCTGCAGTTATAGCTAACTGTACTATACGATAGCTGGACCAAAACAAGTTGTTTTCAGACAGACATATAACACTGTAGTTTCAGTCGTCCCCCACCTACTCCATCAGTAAACATATCAGTCCATTTACCCCCACCTAATACATCTGTGAACATATTAGTCCATATCCTCCACCGTCAATTACATCTGAAAACATATCAGTCGTCCCCCACCGACTCCATCAGTAAACATATCAGTCCATTTCCTACACCGTCAACTACATCTGAAAACATATCAGTCGTCCCCCACCTACTCCATCAGTAAACATATCAGTCCATTTCCTCCACCGTCAACTACATCTGTGAACATATCATTTTTTTCACCGGCAGCAACACCTGTGAAAATATCTGTTCATGCCATCAAGTATATAATGCATCTGTGAGTATATCAGTCGTTTTCCACTACCAATGGATCATTGCAATTCAGTAATCACACCAGGTGTTCGAGGAAAATTGCAAGCATGTCCTGCTTTATCGGTAGCGACCGCCACTCACACAACGCATATAACGTCTAAGCATGCGCTTGTTGCCTGACGCCGCTCAGCAGTACTAAAGCATTAGTAACGCATGGAGCAGCTGATGGTAAATAGCTAAACGTGGTTAGTATTAATTACACAATAGCTAAATTTGATACCTCTAAACGCTGCTAAAGATTTGTTCGTAATTAATGACGCCATAAGTATGACGTCATTATATGTCATTGTCAGTTACACTGAAGAGCTGTCATGAGACAGCGAAAGTACTATGTCTGAAACTGATATAAAGAAGAAGATGGACTAACGTGGACTTTATTATTTTATTATTAATTACATGTACACCGAGTGAACATATACCTCATTTTTGTATATATATATACACATTTGTGAATAACACATAAACAATACATACCAGATTGGTGAAACCTGTGCCGTGTCACCAAGGCTTCTAAGATTGTATCAGGCTTCTAAGTGTGTATAGTTATAGTGTAAATAGTATCGGCATTAACTTTGTTAATGCAGATACTATTTACACTATAACTATACACACCACAAAAGGAAAATAGGTATTTAAAACGAGGATTTATCAAATTGCTTAAATAATGCACTTTCAGACATACATTGTATGCATACATTCCTATACACAATTAACACAATTACCTTAATGTGATATAGTAATTCTATACCTCATGAGATTATTTAGTTTTATTTAGTTAATGTTCAAGTTAAGAAGATAATAGCCCAGGATAAATTAAATATTTATCAATAGAGTAGTATAAGCGCGGGGTGGGATACTAATTGCATTGGGTGAAAAGCATGCAGTGGTATGGTTAGTCAAGGCTTGATAAATAATAGACTGAATGAAAAAGATAAGCTATGGTATTAATGTTTATGTTGAAATACAATTATATGGCAAAATTAAGACATAGTAAATAAATGTACTTAATTCAAATCTGAAATAGAATATGTAAAAAACTATGGCTAAAAAGATATTAAAACCTAACTTGTATGTACAAAATAGTAGTATGCTCAGTCCTTCTTGCAGGCGACGATAATGATGAGCAAACGTGGATTTGAGTCCAGTATCTTGTTTAATGTTAAGCCCATTGCATGAAGGTTCGTCAACTACTCAGGAATTACTTTGTTGTGAAACAACATCCCAATACTTCCCTAAAGTGGTTACTCGTGTTCATGGTGTTGGCCAACACGTGGACAAACTGAACAAATGCTAACAAGTCAACCAAACAACGTTGTTTGTAAAAAGGAATGAAACATATTTTGTAATAAGTCACAAATCGGAATGATTTATTTCTATAACCTGACGTGCTGCGTGTGCGTACAAATTATCACCTTGCTTTGCGATAAGTATTGTGCATCTGTAGATGGAATATTGTTCACATGTAAGCCTAATTCAAATTAGGTATTCAGTATTCTTAATCTATGAACAGCATGAAAACAGTTTGTTGTATCATGATTAATATCTCATTTCCGAAGTGTGTGACGTTGTATTCGTTTTTCTCCTCTTCAACACACCTGTCATGTATGTACTAATACAGTATTTAGTGCAATGTGAAATATTCAGTTGCAAAAAAAGGCGATACGTAAACAGACATGAGCATAACCAGCATAACGTGACATATCTCCTTTAACTTACTCGCCATGGTCCATGTTTGGTTTCTGTTACTGTCCTTGTATCGAGCAAACGTTCAAACAATGTAATGAAAAAGTGAAGTAAGTGATAAAGATGTTTTGTTGTTGAATTGTTGTTTAACGCCGCACTCACCGATATTCCAGATATATGGTCAAGAAATAATCGAGTTTTGACCACACAATCCAGTGATTAACATCATGAGCATCGATCTACGCAATTGGGATATGCTGACATGCATCAACCAAGTCAGCGATCCTGACCACCCGATCCCGTTACCGCCTTCTACCACAATTGAAAATCGTCTGTTTGGACGATCATGGTTTGCTGAAGACCTATTCTACGCCGGATCTTCATGTTTTGAAATCTAATATGCTGCGTTCCTTGGTCTGTTACTGGAAGTGATATAATAATGAATTCCTTCTTCGTTACTTATTTCCATTGTCAGGACCTGAAAAATACAGACTACATGTACTTAAACACAGAACATGACAGATTATATGTCAACTCACAATAACATGGGATGATAAACGTGTTATATTAGGATAGGAAAGAAGGTATATGCCTCTGTTGAACGGTTCTGTACATGCACACAGTTGATCCATGGCAATGACATAAGATTTCAACAAGCAAAAGTGTTTCATGTGTTGGTTACCTTGAGAAAGTGCTCCAGTGTTCTGATATGGAGATGCTCTGATCGACTCATAGGTCACAGGGGGAGTCTCTGCCATGCCTTCATAGGTACTTGTATCTGCTGCAGCATCCGCTGAAGATGTAATTCATTACGTATTTAACAAGAAATCCACATCAGAACTCTTCTTAATAGCACTTCAATATTACCTTCAGTGGAATACTGAAATTTAAATCAGTATTGAGCAAAATGACAAAACCTTTATCTACCTTTTGTATTCTAATAAATCTTCAACTGTGAGTACTGTTGTTTTTCTGATTCCTCCAAATTTGAATACTGGGCAGGGCGATTAATTTGATCTGAAACAAAACAATGTGGACATATTGTAATGATTTCAGTGCTAAACAGTCCCATACATAATAGTAATTTCAGCAAAAGGGTAACAACCAAAAACCAGTACATACCTAGTGATGAATACCCTCTGTTGTCCATTTCTACAGTTTCAGGATTCCTGGTGCTGCAAAATTAATAAGGTCCGTTTCAACAAGAAACATAATGGAGCTATAAACTTCAATATATAATATACGTCTTTAGTTACCTTATTAGGGCTCTATTACCTTATTTAGTATTTTCACATGTTCCGTACATTGTTATCTTTAACTTTGACAATCATAATACCTTTTTCGTAATGCAGTTTCTGGAAAACAAAAATAGCCACATGGTACATAATGTAAAACACCCATCATACATGGCAACAGAACTCTACATCCATAAAGGAAACCTACAGCGGCAAGGAACAAGTTAACTGCAAATGACTGCATGTTCATTGTATTAACAACATAAATTTGATGATGCAAATGTGTCTTTTCAGTCAATATTAATGTCGGATACAGGCAAATTAGGAAATCCTAGGCCTGACAATTAGGTTTTCAAACCCATTCATCAATATAATGGAAAATCATTATCAAATTATTCCTATTGACAATCGTTTTACAACAAAAATTAAACTATGTACCTTTCAGAATATGTCCGAGCCTAGGCTTGTATACCTTTCTGTACAGTACCATCAGAACAATTCCCCCGATGAGCAAAGTAAGAAGAAGGGTCCCAACTGTGGATCCTGCTATCACCCCTGTACACGAACATGGAGTTTCAAGGTTTTGCTGATTTGGTGGATCTGAAATAGGAGTAAAAGATCATAACAGACGGGTGGTAAACGTATGTCAGTGTAAAGGGTCGGATGAAAGGGTATTCGTTTCTAGTTTCCTACTTTCAAACAAACTAATTGGTGATTGGTGGGCGATGTCACAGAATACATAGGTTCGAATCTCATCATATGTGTAAACCTAATGTCTTGTATTATCGAGACTGACATTGCTGAAAGCTCTGTAAATCACAAATCATTGGCTGGTGGCCAGATACACATGTTCACGTTGAATGAAAAGATGTAAGGAACATTACTTGAAGTACTTCACAATGGGAAATTACTCTCAAATACAACATATGCTTGTATACAAAATCTTCTATGATGATGAGTTGTTAATTACATTTACATCAGATGAAACCATTTTTCATTCGACCTGAGTGACACATACCTCCAGCAGTCCTAGTTTCTACAAATACATATCTGTTAGAATCCACATAGTCATTTCTAGCATGTAGTCGAAATATGTGAATACCTCCCGGTGTAAGCCCAGTCACTTCCACCACCATCATCTTGCCGGTGTCTGCATAGGTCTTGTAGACAGTCCAAGTTCTTGTATCAAACTTGAGATGCTCAAGCAGAAACGTCTGAGGGTTTCCACCATTAAAACCGGGCAGCCAGGATAACCATACTGACGACGTTGTTGCATTATCCAGATCTCTAAACTGTGTAGGTATCTGTGGTGGCCCTTAAACAAATCAATATGAAAAGGAATGCTATAAAAGCTTTCTCATAGAATGTTTCTAATGTTAATCTCTTTATTTGTACAGTAAAGATGTAATGTTTAAACAACAGTCAAATATAGGTATTGAAACATATGAACAATTGTATCCTGAATTAGTGAATGATACATCAGAATGTCGCAGCTCAACTTCAGACACTACGCTGACTGTGTAAGTCACTGAACCGCCTTCACCGTTATTGGCTGTAAGACTGTAGTCCCCGAAGTCCTGCTGTTGGAGGTTAGTAAGGTGGAGTCTGGCAGTGACTGAGATGTCTGAGACAGGGCTGGAGGAACCAGTGAGGTCCTGTCTGGTGCTGGTGGTTCTACTCCAGGTGAATGTAGGAAGGGGGTAGGCCAGGACCGACACAGACATATTCACATTACCACCCAGTCTAGCGGCGTATTTGAGTTGCTGGGGAGCTGTCTCCTCAAGCCGAGGAGAACCTGGTTAAATGTAGACAACATATGTAATGACTCTGGAACAAATAATATCCGTTTAGGGTAGAGTATGATGAAGACCAATTTTATCGAGTATGTATAATTATTTATGAGGAGCCTTTCGTTGAAACTTCAACTCTGCGTTATCAACTTAGAAGACAAGATAACACAAATATACAAGCAAACCGTAGGCCTACCATTTACTCAACAGCGTTATTATCATTGACAAAGTTGCGACATAAACCATCAATGGAAATCATCACAACTATTACAATCCGTATAGAATATACAAATAGATTACATTTGACCAGCAACTCCACCTGCTGGCTGACAGGTACCCCGATGTTGTTAGTGGCAGTACAGGAGTAGTTCCCTCTTTGTCTACAGTCTGCTGACTCCAGTCTATATTCTGTGGTCAGGGAGTTATCTGCCCTTGTCAACTCCTCAGTTCCATTCAATAACCTGATGACTGACCTTGGGTTGCTATCAGCCTGGCACCTAAAGGTCACCGGATCAGACTCGTTAACTGCCAGTGAGCCACTGAGTGAGTTGGCGGTGAACACGACTACACTCACTGGGTCTGAAAATATAAATGACTCATTGTGTCATTGGCATGGAGGGGGCACGGGTGGCCCAGTCGACTAAGGCGGCGCAATTCGCTGTGCAGAGTTGCGTCCCTTTGGCACGCCAGAAACCTATGATTGTGGGTTCGAATCCCGGTTCGCCCCGATTATGTTTCTAGGTTTGTCAGCACCATACCAGTGCTCGTTGGTTTCACCGAAGTGGTAAACGTCTGAGGCCTGCATCACTTCGGGCTTTCCTACCACATTAAGCTGACACGCCTGATATAACTGGAATAATGTTAAAAGCGACGTTAAACCTAGCTCACTCACTCATTTGCATGGAAGGAATTGGTATCAACACTGAACATCAACACTGACTGTAACAGTGTCACCAGTGTAGACTATATACTTCCACTGACTGTAACACTGTCACCAGTGTAGACTATATACTTACACTGAACATCAACACTGACTGTGACACTGTCACCACTCCCGTGTGTATTAGAAGGCTGACATATGTAGGAGCCTGTCTTAGATCTGTCAGCTTGTCCCTGGAGCATGGCTCCACTGCTGATAGCTGTTCCATTGTGAAACCACCTGTAGGTACATCCGGGTCTACAGAGGGCGGAGCACGTGATTGATGGAAGAGCCTGGTGTTCTGTCACAGTGTAGGAGGAGGTGGAGGGAGTCAGGGAGATCTGGTAGGGCCCGTCTGGAATACATGGCACCGTGACACTGATACCGTGATACAAGAACTAGTTATACCTCCAATAACCTACATGGAAAACAATGATGAGTTGAGGATATACAGAAAACAATATGACAAATTAAAGCAACGTGTATTTAATAGCAGTATGTACATGAACGAGCGATTGCTTATACGTTTCATGGCTTGGTGTGGCGATCAAAATATAACTGTTCAGCATGTTATATGCATACTTTTTTGTTGATGGTTTTACGTTTCGTGTCTGTTGACGACGACAGGCTGTGAGACTTGACTGCGGTCTGCTGGTGTATGTAATTACAAATAAGCTAATTAACCCTTGAAACACACGTGATGCTGGCAAATGGTCACGCTCCCTTGGAGTCTGTGTTTCTAGAACTACCGAAATTTGGATAGCATTTATTTGTGAATACTAAACTCCACCATCCAAAGTTAGCTTGATGCCATTGAATCGCCATAGGAAATCCCTCGGGTTTGTTTTGTGCTTTTGTGGAAGGTGTAGGTAAGAAGTCCCACGCCATAGGGCAGATTAATTATCACTTGAACATATATCACTAAATATATATCACTTGAACATATATCACTAAATATATATATATATATACAGAATATTAACAGGTGCCATTTTCATGACGAGTGCATTGCAAAACGACGCCAACGCGCGGCATCGAGTTGGACCTTGGTATCTAACGGGGAAGAGTTTAGTTACATATTTATAACTTAAACTTTGTAAATTCTAAGTTGAAAAGAAATCGATCCTGGTATTAGGGTGGCGTGTGAATATATATACACAGTTCGTAGCTGGGCTCTTCTCTCAAAAGGCAAATAATAAATTTATATCACTAAAATTTAAAAAAGAAATGCTTTCATGAACATCTTCATAATAGCCTAACCTAAGGTTCAACGCATCAGAGGAAACATCCTTGCTGTGTAGGTGAGAGGAGCACAAGAGGCTCATCGAGTCATGTCTTGTTGGCTATAAGATTTCATACCTAAGGGTCAGACACTTCTGCATTCAGGGGAAACATCCTTACTGTGAAGGTGAGGCCAGCACAAGAGACTCATCGAGTTATGTCTTGTTGGCTATAAGATTTCATACATAAGGGTCAGACACTTCTGCATTCAGCGGAAACATCCTTACTGTGAAGGTGAGGCCAGCACAAGAGACTCATCGAGTTATGTCTTGTTGGCTATAAGATTTCATACCTAAGGGTCAGACACTTCTGCATTCAGGGGAAACATCCTTACTGTGAAGGTGAGGCCAGCACAAGAGACTCATCGAGTTATGTCTTGTTGGCTATAAGATTTCATACCTAAGGGTCAGACACTTCTGCATTCAGGGGAAACATCCTTGTTGTGTAGGTGAGAGGAGCACAAGAGGCTCATCGAGTCATGTCTTGTTGGCTATAAGATTTCATACCTAAGGGTCAGACACTTCTGCATTCAGCGGGAACATCCTTACTGTGAATGTGAGGCCAGCAC